TTGATTCTGTTCACACACCTGTACACCACGATGATCTGACTCCTGGTCACTTCGCAAGAGTAGTTTTTCTACTGTGAAATCACTATATATACTCAATAAATCAAAATTATTCAATGTTTTTCCTTTTTGCTGATTGTTCACTTGTTTCTTTGGTTGCTTGCTGGTTGTCTCAACAAGGCAGACGGCGTCCGGCAACATGTATTCTCAAAACGCTTTCTTCTTTTTTTTATTATTCTGCACCGTAACAACTGTGAGACGCAGTTACTACTCGATACGATTCTTACGATCGCGACTACGAGCTACTCGCGCGTCATGTGAGGCTACACTGTCGTGTAGATTGAGGGTTCCGGTAGCCTTCACTAATTCGTCGAGCAGTCGTATTTGAATGGTGGATTAACGGCTATAGATGCATTCAGGGCACACGTAGGAACCTAATGCGCGCCCACTTCACTTCGCTTTGTTGCTGCTTCGACCAACGTGTGTATTGCCCTGTGCTTGGAGTATAGCGGTGCATAGCAATTTCACTGGTCCTATCTGAACTTACCTGGCACCGTGCCTGACACTCTAATTGTAAATATCTTTATCAGGTCCACTTACACTTTTGATACTGGTTTATTCTTTTTATGATTATTTTCATTTCTATCTCCTGGGCTTTCTCAAGTCCACTTGCCAGCAAAAATGTCTGTTTTCCTGATAAAGAATGTCTTCATCTTCTAGTGGTATTAAAGTCCCAGAGCCTGTACCGCCCAAATAAGTGGGGCAAAGTAGCACTTATCGAGCGCTCGTTCACTCCCAGAAACGTGGTGTAAAGCAACCGTAACAGCCTTGCGATGTCTTTAGATTGATTATAATCAACAGATCTAAACTGTGTTTTGTATCGAGACGAGCTTGCACATTGAGCGGAAGTGGCACACAGTGCACTGGCGATGTTTCTGCGAATGCATTTCGACTTGTAATATTGGTTAAAACCACCGGACGGGAAACCACATACCCAGGCAAAGGATTTTAGCATTTTTCGGTGCATTTGCGCACGCTGCAGTGAATGCACTGCCTCTTTTCCTTTTCTTCCTTCTCCTTCTTTCTGTCTGTTTCTCATCTTTCTATTCCCCATCCCTCATTTCCCGGTGTAGGGTAGCCAACCAGAAGTCTCTCTGGGTTGATTTCTCTGCCATCTCTTTGTTTCCTTCCTGGAACCAAAAAGGAAATTCATTAAAACTGGTAAAGGAAGCAGTCTACTTGTTAAGAAAAGTAGCGACTGCGAAAGGGAACCACGAGACTCAAGTAACTCGAATAGGATTAGGGTCGAGCACATTTGCCAGGAATATTCGAACCATGAATGGTAGTATTCTACTAATCCTCAAAAAAGAGGTATATAACAGCTACATATTACCAATACTATCCTATGGAACATAAGTCTGGGGTCTTACAAAAAGGGTTCGCCTTATATCGAGGGAGACACTCCGAGCAATGGAACATAAAACGATAGGTGTATTCCTAAAGACAATAATATAGCAGACTAGACCACGTGAGAAACGGATGCTAAGGACATCTTAGTCAAAATCAAGAAGAAATGGACTTGAGCCGGGCACGAAGCACGTAGCGAAGTGAAGTTAACCACTGCTCGTCAAGAGGAACCGACTGGATTCCAAGAGAAAGCAACCACGTGCGAGGGATGCAGAATATTAGATGGTCAGATGATATTAGGAAGTCTACGGGTATAACGCGGCCGCTACAAGCCCAGTACCGTGTTGACTGGCAGAACACAGGAAAGGCCTTTCTTTGGCCTGCATCGGGCGCAGTCTGATAAAATGATGGTGATGATGACTATTACGATTATGATGATTACAAGTGGTCGGACCAGCGTGACTGGTTAGCGTTTGCACAAGCGTTGTAGTGAAAGCACTGCAAAACTATTGGAGGTGCAGAAAGCTTCTAACGCCTCTACTTATGGAGCCAATGCAAAATCACGTTGGATGCCGAAAACTTTCGGGTAGGGAGGGTAAATACAATCGACTGAGAAGAAGATGACTTTTACATTAGAGTCATCCAATAGGAAAAGGCTCAAGGGACCATGCTCTGTTTAGAACAGCTGTCAGATACAAGCAATCAGCGAAAACACCTTCATTCCATAGGTGCTATAATGTCGCGCTACACTCAGATTTCCTCCTTATTCTTTGGAGTCCGCGGTTCATGCTACGAACCACTGCCCGTTGCTGAAGCCCAGTGTGGTGGCGTATGCATGAGCACAGGCGGAGGTTGCCGCATACCTCGGAAGCGCACGCTGGACCATTTTTCTTTCAACTTGATGACCCTTTGAGGAAGTGCACAATACCAGCGTTTTTTATTACGTGCTTGTCGATACGCGTGATTCACAATACGCTGTGTCCACGTATCGGTTAGAAAGTTCAACTAGGACAACCGTTAAACATGATTGTGGGCCCTAGCGGCCACTATGTATATGTGCCAATATGCGTCAAATTTTGTGTATGCATGTCAAACGATGTTTAAATGCGAAACACACATGAAACATTTTACAAAGTCTCATAATCGTAAGGCACTACTGCTGTGAAGACACTTTCGCGCTTTTGTGCCATACAGGTTTCTGGGACGGAGAGATCAGCCATGTTTTTTTTTTTCCTCGTCTTCTTTCTTGTTGACATGGCGTCGCTCTCTCGCCAAGCGTCGCAACTCTCGTCCTCGGGTTTATTTGAGTGGACGTGACTGAATGAAAGCGGCTCGCACCCCGTCGATGCAGCGCCGCGTACAAACGAGTTCGTCCCCTTCGAAGAAGTAAGCCGTCTTGTACGCGCGCTGACGTTTGGTGTGATACAACACGGCGCCAGGCCGTCGACCTCTCGAGCTCGTTCGTTTTGAAGGGCCAGCCTCGTTTGACGGACGACTTAATTAAATGCCGCGCGCTGATACGCGCGATTCGCTCTTGTTCTTGCTGCTTCTGCTGGCGTCTTCTTCACTTTGCGAGAAGGACAGCTCGTGGTAGGCACCCCGTGAAGTGTGGGAAAGACTGATCGGCCACTGCAAGAGAATACGCGGCCCATTGAAGCTGCGGTATGCGTCTTCGTACGGTGTGGCCGCAGGTATGCCCGCGTAACGGTGACTCACAGGCCAGCCTCATCGCAACATCGTATTCTCAGCCAATGGTTCTACGTTGTTTTATGTTTTTACTATAATTCGCGTGTGTGAGAGAAAGAGAGAGAGATAGGCAGTTGCGCAGAATTCAGACATTGGATTGAGGCAGTGTTTGTCAGTTTTCTTTTATGAAGACCGAGCAATAAAGATGACTGATTGACTTGGAGAAAGGGTACGATACGTCTTATAAAAGTTTCAAGTGAGGGAGTGAGTGAGTTAGCGAGAGAGTGAGTGAGCGAGAGAGAGAAAGAGTTGGTAAGTGTGAGACTGAATGAGCAAGTGATTGAGTAAAATTTGCGAAAGACGTGCTTCTACTCACAAACCACCAGTCTCCAAGGATATCGAATGCACGCAGCTAGACAAAGATGACAGGTGAAAACAGCGAGACGCAATTTTCGTATGATGAGCACCTGGCTTAGTTATCTATTTCAGTGCATGTTATTCCCTTCCATAGCATGAATTTACTCGCCTTACTAAGATGTTTTATTGAACCGTCACTTCATTTTGGTATTTACCTGCAAAAGTCAGGGCTCACCTCTAATAGCCCATCACTTGGTTTTCAGTCTATGCCACATAAACTGACCTAATAAGAATGACATACTGGTGTGTGCATTATAGAGCTCAAATATATTGGAAGTGCAATTACACACGTCTTCAACTGTACCACTTGTGACATTCGTCCAACTGTGAAGGTAGCCAAGGCAACCACCCTCCCAAGCACAAGCGCTGCGTATCAGCTTACCGCTTCTGGTGTATTTGTATGCCCATGTTGCTCTCGGCATCATTACGCAAACGTAAGCAATTGGTTATATAAAACAAATGCGGCTTTTCATCACATGTCTGTGCATACACATCTTTAGCGCAATATTACAACGTTTCGCTCAATATAGAAAAAAATTACACCACAGAGATCTTGACCCCACACGCTTTGCATCTTACGACGGTGCGTGGGATCTACTGATTAAAAGAAATATAGAATGGGGCAACTTTGTGATTCGGACATTTCAGTTTATCCTTGCGCATTGTAAATCGCTTGAATTTCGCACTCTGTGAGGCGCACTTATGTGGAGTTACGTAAAAGCACAGGACTCGCTAATATCTTAACGTTCGTTCTGAATTACTTACCTGTTTATGAGCGTAAACTCAAACATTTGAAGATGTTGTCAAAGACGGCGTTTTGATAGCAAATTTTGAAAAACTTGTACAAGAGAATACGAGTCTGAATGGGAAGGAAAACTGTTGAAACTTTGAGGCTATTCACGGTGTGTTTGACTGATAAATACACTTTAGAGTGCCGAATAGGGCTTTCAAATCACTGTAGTCGTTGAGACCCTCCTTGATTGTTTGGCGACTATAGGCTTTTCACATATATAGGCAACCATGTAGTGACTCGCTGATTATCATTGTTTGTTTTGTATTTGTATTTTAGTACTGTTACCCAATTCTCCAGTAGCACACTCTAAAAAAGACCGAGTAAAAAGGGTCTTTTTGTCCCACAACGATAATTGTCATCTATATTGCGTTCTATTCTTGTGCTATCGCCCCGTGCCCGGTGCATTCCGGTCACGATCGACATGCCCATTATCAGGGTTACATTGCATTCTCGATAGGAAAGTGGCCAGCGCCGAGTTTTCAAGAAAGGAAGCGCACGCAAGCCTGATGACGATTATGGTTGTGGGACAAAAACTCACCGTTTTCACTCGATAATTTTTTAGAGTGTAGCTTAAATTGCGTTGATGTTAGTTAAATGGTACCGGCAGAACCCCTTCGGGAGTGGCTGTTATTCTCACTTATGATGATATTTAGCACAATCAGCTGACGTCATCACTTTATCATTTTTGTGCAGTGACGTCATGAGGCGCGCACTGCTCGTGGCGCTCCTAGCGGGGATCGCATCAGCCACTGGATGGCACGGAGGCGGCGGCGGCGGTCACGGATGGCACCAGCACGTGCCCATCAAGCTGCTCGTGAAGCACGTGCACAAGCCCATCCCGGTGCCCAAATATGTGCCCGTGCCTCAACCGTACCCGGTGCACAAGCTGTACCCCATCTTCAAGCCATTCCCTGTCGCTAAGCCTGTGCCACAGAAATACGTGGTCCACCAGTACCACAACATACAGGTTAGTATATTGGTGGCCTGGCGTTTTGAAGTGTGAAGTTATTTGGAGTTCGAAGCTTGTTCAATGTTTATTTAGCGCATGTTCAAAAGTATAAGCATTTTGGTGCAGAAAAATACCGCATAGCGTAAGCACCATTGAGAGAGCATACTTTATAGTTAATTAAAGGTCAATAGAATTTAGCACATGCCCCCCTCCCCTCTAAAAAAGAAAATAGAATTGCCGTAGCAGGTCTCGCACTGCGCGCCTTTGTTTAATTCAATGCATTGTCTGTTCCAACGAGGCCTTCACGTTCTAGACTCAATTTTCACACGTAGCTCGATTACACACTTTTGCCACACAAGATTGCATTAGTTAAGAAGACCCCTTCAACTACATCACATCCAGGGAGTCTTTTTTCTTCTTCATTTCAATGCAGTATCATGAAGTGGAGTGGGCATTTGGTAGAACCTAATTCACCACACAAAAGAACAGGGTTAGATTTTACTTTATTGGAAGATTTTTATTATTCATTTTATTTGCTTTTTTCGCAAATTTTCCCTCACTGACCTCGCTCACAAGCAACGACGCTGACACCGATGCCAGAATTTCTCAGCAATGAGCTATTCAAGTATCTCGCGTTAAAATATCGGTGATAAATCTGGAGAACATCTGCATAACAATGCACATGCCTCAACATAGGAGAAAATGAAGCCACCGGTGGGTGGGGTGAAATATTTTGAAGTGAACAAAAAAGTCGGAATGCTGGCAACGTTTGTGCCTGGTAATGGGCGTAATGGACAGCTTTGATGGCTAAACAACAAGCAAATTGCAAAGCGGCTGCAAATATACGTATATTGACTGAAACTGGGCAACAAAGAGGCGCAGTATTAATATTTTAAGCAAATAACGTTTACTCCTGCTCACAAAAGATAGTTAAAGGAGCGGACAATTACCTATAGTATGAAATAATACGACTACTGGTGAAATGATTTCACGTCGCATTGGCTCAAACCAAACATGCTTTCTTCATGAGAGGTAGATTTGTATTTTTATTTCTTCATTAAAAGTCACGAAAAATGACTTGTGAATCGTCTGGTGGCCAAAGCATGAACCATTCGGCATGAAAAAGTGGGTTGACGTGCGGGGCATGAGAGGCAAAGGCGTGTGTCATTTGAAGGGACGCTGTGTGTGAAACGGTCTAGCAGACTCTCAAGGAAACTTTGTAGGCTGACGCAGCATTCGCGTCGGCCGGCGGCGCAGAAAGTTCGCAACGTGTTACGTTAACACGAAGACCGAGCATTCTCTACTGCCACTCGCAACACGCCTTGACGCGTGAACATCAGCTCAATATATCGCAAGTTTAAAACACGCGAACAGTTGCGCATCAAGCAGCATCGGTGAATCTTTAGGGGCGAAGCTCTAAAGCCGTGGGTCTCTCGACACACATTTCTTTGTGACCGGTTCATAACCACCTAGTTGTGTAACTCACTGAGCAGGTGGCACTAGTGTGAGTGACAGACAGACCGACGGACGGACGGACGGACGGACGGACGGACGGACAGACAGACAGACAGACAGACAGACAGACAGACAGACAGACAGACAGACAGGCAGGCAGGCAGGCAGGCAGGCAGGCAGGCAGGCAGGCAGGCAGGCAGGCAGGCAGGCAGATGTATGGACAGAGGCAAGAACGCACTGGCGGACTCATGGACGGACTCATAGATGGACGCTTGAACAGCCGCACCGACGGAAGCATGAACGGACGGACAGAAACACGGACGGATGTATGAATAGACGGAAACACGGACGAACAGAAGAACGGACGGACGCCCGCACGGACGAACAGACGGAAGCATGGACCGACAGACAGACGGAAGGGCTCAAGGGTGGGCGGACGGATGGATGGACGTTAGCATGGACGGACAGACAGAGGGACAGACGTGCGGATGAATGGACTCACAGACGAACGGATGGATAGAAGCAAGGATGCATGAATGGACAGATAGACGGGCTGAAGCTTGTATGGACAGACAGACAGACGACCGACGGACGTTTCGCCCCACTCATTATCATTCCGTGGATATGCTGTCATTTTTTCATAGGGTGTGTATCAGGAGAGCATTAAAATCAATAGTTATGCACTACCAATCCACCCTATCTTGGCTTTTCTACGAAAAACTTGCCTTCAATCAACTTGGCAGCCTTTTTGTGAATTGAATTTCATTTTGTCTTTGAGGAGACCTATGCATGGGAATGACAATCGATAAGCTTTTAACAAAATGGCGCAATTTTCTGAAGTAACATGCAACAAAAATATCTGAAAATTCCGCTTTTTTTCCAGTAACGCGATCCTTCGATGACTAACTGAATAATATCTTTGCAGTGTCATTATAGGATACGTACGCCCGGTTAGCGCAGGCATTGTACGAGTTGAAATAAAGTTTATGCCAACCAACCAAAATTTTGTTGTTATAAGATTTCTCTAATGACAATTTGGCATGTGTAGTAGACATCTCAGCTCAGAGCAAGTGTTTTGAATTACTCTAAACGATTATAAACCCCCCAAATAGTTTGCCGATGTGGATTCCAAATACATATCCCACCGGGGTAATTACCTCAATGCGATACCTGTTGTCCAAACAACTAAGCACTCTTAGCTAGGCCCCTTCTTAGATTTCATTGAAGGAGCATCGGTCAACAAGCGTGCCTGGTGACAACCTGTTTTCAACCTTATGGCATCAATCTAGAGCTAAAAGTTCAAGCAGCGCAAAGAACAGGACACCATCAATGTAGACTAAAATAGAGGAATTCCACACGAAAGCTATTAAGACATTGCGTTGTGCTCGTGGCAGCTATGTGGATGATTCAAAGGAAGTGGCTATTATCGTTTTGCGTTTTCTACAAGCGAAAGGTCCAAGTCATGTATGGTGAGACATACTACATGAAAAGGGTCGCTCAGACGGAGGAATTGCTGGCCAGGTATGCCAAGCTAACCCTGCATGTGACTACATCACCATCACCACCACCATCACCACAACCACCATCAAAGAAATGCTTGTTCGCGAAGCAGCTGGAGGCTTGCGTAAAAGATTCATCTGCATGCATTAGCGAGCCCATTTACTTCTTGTTTGTTTCTCGACGCAGATTCCAGTTCCTGTGCTGAAGTTGATGCCACACCGTATGTCCATTCCCATACCAAGACCTGTGGCGCTGCCTATACCAATTCACGTGCCCAAGCCAGTGATCGTTCCAGTGCCGAAGCCCGTACCGGTCAAGAAGCCGTATCCGGTTCCCGTGCATGTCCCTGTTCCCAAGCCATTCGTGGTACCCATCTTTAAGTCAGTTCCCGTACCGGTGCCAAAGCCAATCCATAAGCTCATTAAGGTCATCAAAGAGATCCCTGTCTACATCAAGAAGCCGGTTCCCATATAGTGAGTATGTCTGCGAGTTATGTTACACAATGTGTGTTCCTCGCCATTTACATACTTTAAAGAAGGTGGCAATACTGAAGTGCATTTTTGCAGTTTTCTTTTTTTCTTAATATCACTCTAATGATCCAATCGGATGATTGCATGCCACTAGTGTTGGCATCTTTTCTTTTCAGCCTAATTGTATACCACCGCTTTTTCTTTCCTTGTCAGGCTCCACTGATCAAGGTGGTAGGCTAGGGTTGAAGCTCAATAAACCCCTTGTTTGCCCCGGTCCCGTCGTTGGTGTTTATTATATATAGGCTGTGTAACTTGAAACAGCTCTAATCGACACGTGTATTACGTACAGCGTGCATACCTGATCCTGATCTTCTCCTTCTGTTCAGGGTAACAAACCAGCAACAATCTAGTTAATCCCCCTGCTTTTGTTTTGCTCATTGAATAGCTGAACGGACATAATAATAATAATAATAATAATAATAATAATAATAATAATAATAATAATAATAATAATAATAATAATAATAATAATAATACCTTTTTGTAGACATTCATAACGAATACAAAAATTGGGCTTGTGTAACAGCAAAATTACAGTTATTATTATTATTATTATTATTATTATTATTATTATTATTATTATTATTATTATTATTATTATTTTATTATTATTATTATTATTATTATTATTATTATTATTATTATTATTATTATTATTATTATTATTGCGAAGTTTCCTTCTAAAACCTGACATGACCATGAACGAATTAGTGGAAGATAGAAAATTGACGCGACATGTTTCGGCGATGTCAGAAAACATATATATTCACCGCAGTCTTCATTCTTGACTGCCACGGCCTGAATTGGACAAAAATAATATCAAGATCTATAGGAAGTTCCATGGCCACAATATCATCTGCTCAACGTAAGCCTCGAACATAAACTGACTGCTCCATTCATGAAGCATGCTGTGTTCTTCGAGTCAAAACACAGACACGAAGGTGTTCTTTTTTTTTCTCGTACAAGTGGCGCTACGAACAAACCTCCACGATTTTTGCCAGATTGCAATACATGGAGCCTATGACGAACCTCGCCACTAGTATGATTGAGAACCTGTAACACAAACTAGTTTTTTGTCATGCATAGAGGAGTGAACTATGTCAGTGAAGCGGTTAAGATTTGAACTGTCGTAGTTATTTCCGAACGAACACACGCCCTTGTACGCTGAAAGCTTGCTTTGTCACATAGAGGGTCTCTATTCGGCAAAGGCCACCTAAACAATTGCGTGAGTGAGTTGGGATTTAAAATGCGCCGATATGCTGGTGTTAGCTGGGTATTCCGTTCAAAAGGTAGTGTACCTGTACTACATTCTTGAACGCCAAGTTTTACCAGTCTGCATTGCATCCGCCTGTTGCGGTGACAAATATTGCTCAAGTGCCAAAAAGCGAAAGTTTCACGGTACCAACGTGCGTGCCTAAGAGGACTGTAAGGCAAAGACCATCCTCTTCGTTTTTTTTTTTCCCCAATGGAATCTATTTATCCACCCCACACCCCAATTACTACATCAAAACTGAGTTTCCCGCAGCCAAGGGGACATCGTTGTACAATTCGTGAGATCAACGTGTGAGCCTTGCCTCTTCGATCGGAGCCATTACGAAATTTTTCGCAACTTCCTTGGTTTGGCAGTGCCTTCGGGAAGGGCGCACACGTGAGTAAGCAACGATGTGAAGTCGTGACGTCATCATTTGAGCTTGCTTAATATTGACGTAACAATGGTTATCAATATGTGACGTCGTGATGACGTCATATGGCGACGTAATCATTGAATTTATTTTATCATCATTCGTTTTTTCACCAGTGTTCACAAACTCGAATTTAATGGGGCACATAAAGAGCTCGTATTAATCCTCGTTCACTTTCCAACTCCTGTCGCAGCGTGCACGAAGAGAGCCATGGCTGGAAGGGTGGCTGGAAGGGCGGCTGGCACTCGTCGGGGGCTCACGAAGGACTACTGGCCAGCCAGGTGGCTGCGGCCGTGCACTCTCACCGGGGTGGTGGCGGTGGAGGAGGCTTCAAGTTCCACCACCATGGCTCGGCCTCTGAGGCTGCACCCATCATCGCAGCTGTACACCACGTGACCCACTCCGGAGGAGGAGGAGGAAGCTTGAGTGATGGAGGCCTCGCTGCTGCACTGCAGCACGCTTCCAGGCAGTCCGCGCTGGACGCGGTGCGCCATGTAGCCTCGGCCTCGTCGGCCCTCCAGCATGCGGGAGGCTCTCCACTCGAGGCCGTGCACCACGTGACCCATGGTGGGTCGACCGCCGCGTCGGCGCTCAGTCACTTGCCCGAACAGGTACACTTTAAAACGTATTGATATCTGAAGAACCCTGTGACTGAAACCTGTTTACAGACAGAAAGTTACTTCGATGTAACCATGCTGGATATAGTTTAGAACTTTTGGAATAGCCATTCTTCTTTTATTATAGTAATACTTGGCTCATGAGCACATAATTATTTTAGAATTGGCGAGACCTGACGATACTTCTCTAAACTTTACAAGTGCTAAAAAACTAATATTTAAAGTGGGTTGAAGACCACGTGATACTCGAATTAATATATGTGCTGCCTGTGTACCAAAAGTCACATGACACGATCAGTTACGTCACTCTGTTACTTCGTTAGGACGTGATAAATTACCACGTATGTATTGTGGTGATGCCATGTACGTCACATCACGACTTGACAACTACACCATCATATGCTTAAAAGGGCTCCAAAACACTTATTAATCATGGTCAAAAAGCGCTACCGATCGATGCACGACGTTCCCGGAAAGACGCAAGCCAGAGACTGTACCGCATCGTGCGGCCTAGATATTATGAATAAATGTTACAATCAGCTCAGCTAAAAATCATTCGTTCTTCTCTCTACAAATCATGATATGAGCCAAAATGGCAATTGATATAAACCCAAACTCCCCAGCCATTGGCTGAGTTGAGCACCGTGAGCTGTGTAGTTACCGTGGCCACCATAGGATGACGCCACGTGCCCCTGCGCGCTCTCGCGTTCACATGGAAAGTGAGCCACACTTTCTTTCAAAGCAAGATGTTGTGTTCTGTCGCAATGTTCTGTTGGATTGTAATTGATGTTCACTGTCTGTGAGAATAAATTTCTCTAAACAACGAAAAAAAATAACAAACAGAGGGCTCAAGGGGAGGACATGACCTGGCGAATTGAGTATATATATATATTCAGGGAATGCTCCAAGGATATATTTTTTATTAATAGGAAGCATCGAATTCAAGACAAATTTTATAGGAGATTAAGTCGCCGATACTCGTGTCTGTAGGTTATTCTATCAAAAACAACCATCTTTTTATCGATTATTAACGTGCGTGAGTTTCCTCCTCTATTCAAAAGAGTGAGCGCGTGCCACTCTTCTAGAGTTTCCTCTTCTATTCAAAAGAGTGAGCGCGTGCCACTCTTCTAGTCCGGCCGTGGAGGTGGCTACGTACTACTATTACGTCAACTACTACTACTACTACTACTACTACTACTACTACTACTACTACTACTACTACTACTACTAATACTACTACTAATACTACTTATACTACATACATCACGTACGCACGAGCCACGGCTTAAGGAGAGAGAAAATCATAGCACATTCACTTGGCGTGCAGACAATACCCTTCACCACACATAAAACTGAGCATACCACAAGCTCTGACACTCATGCTTCTTCAGGTCAGGGCGCACCCAACCCTGTGCTATTGAACAAGATTTATCCCCAAATACAACAAGCTATTACATGCTCCTTCTGCAATGATAGAGCCACCTTGGAACATATGCTCTGGCGGTGCTCCGCGTTACGCTGTGGGGAAGTCACCACGCCGTTCAAGGGAGGGTGCTATTACAAGCTCCGGACTCGAACAACAGTGATGGGCAGTCCAACAGGCCCGCGGCACAGCAGAGAGACTTGGTCATTCTGTTCCGACGAGGGAAGGAACAAATAAAGTTCACCCATTCATCCATTCATATCCATGGAGTGAACGATGATGAGTGGGCCCAGCATAGGGGCTAGTTGGCTGCACATGGTTGACACTTGCGACGCGCTAAATTGCACAAGAAAAAAGGCACACGGAGGCTCGTGTGTTCTCTACCTGTCTCTCCGTGTGTCGTTTTTCGTGTGCAATTCAGCGCGTCGCGATTGTCAACGATTACTGGGGTGATGCGTCTGTATGTCTTTCACCTACATGAAATTGTCCGTTTACTATATAAAAATCGTCAGCTGTACGAAAACCACTAACATCGTCTAGTGATATTCTTTTCAAGGACATATACTGACAAGCGCCATTTATTGAGCAATTCATAAACTATAAAGGGCTACATACTACTACTACTACTACTACTACTACTACTACTACTACTACTACTACTACTATAGAGGATGGAACTCTAAGTTAAGCTTCACCCCTAAAACTCCGGAGTTTCTTAAACATTTAAGAAAGAAGACTTGAAGGTGAAAGCCATGTTCTATTGCTTCTAAGTTGATGTTTTGACCTTGCTCCACCAACCTCTGAAAGTTTTAACACTATAGCGTTAGAGAGCTCGTGTCGTGGATATCCCGCCATCGGTGTCGGCGCCGTTGGTTGTGAGTGAAAAATAGTCTGTGCGTCTGTGAGCAAAGAAGCAACTTACAGAGATCGCCGCGGGAGGCCGCTACTTGCCCACGCGTGCGCTCGCGATCACACTGAAAAAGGCGCGCATTCGAATAAAAAAACAAGTGCACAAGGTCGCGAGGCGCGGTGGTTTCTTTGCCCCTGACACCTCTCCCTACTTAGCTTCCAGCGCGTTCGTCGAGACGAAAGAAGAGATAGTGCAATTGCAGCATGCGACAAACCTTTGAACTTCACTCGTACTGGAAGAATTCTTAAAATTTTTGTGCCATTGAATTTTTGAGGCAATAAGCTCTCCTAGCGAATACATTCCATGGTTACTTGAAAAAGTGTTTCAGAGCCCCTTTAACGCGTTCTGTTTGACAGATGTCACCACGAAAAAGAGTCCAATCGGAGATTTGTACGCGCAGTTGGGAAGCCTTAAACCACGCCGAAAAAGGCCGGGATAGTGCAGATCGCTGCTAAAAACACACAGGAACTTTCAAAACACTCCAAAAATAGACAACTACGTCCATCTAGCGGAAAACATATGCCTTTCCAGAGGCGTTGATAAGCAAACAGCAAACGATAGATCTGTGAGGCATTGCGATACTCTTTATGGCCACCGAGATGGCGAGTGCGTGGCGTGTATCTTGTAGGCCATGCGACTCTTGCTTTACATCAAAAACCTGCACGTACCATTCGCGCGCGCGCGCTGATACGATCTACTCTGCGCGTGCGTGTGTGAGTATGTAACAAAACATATTAATAAGTATGCACTTAGCGGTTGAAAAGCGCACATAAGGACCAAATTTCACTATCGCGTTCAACTATTCGAGGCGATGCCTAAGGGTTTCCCATTTTTTTTTTGCACCTAACTTGGCTTTGCACTGCCTTTGTGCGGCTGCGGCGGCTGCATTTCCGATTGGAGGCGGAAATGTTGTAGGTCCGTGTACTCAGATTTGCGTGCACGTTAAAGAACCCCAGGTGGTCAAAATTTCCGGAGTCCTCCACTACGGCGTCTCTAATAATCAAATGGTGGTTTTGGGACGTTAAACCCCACAAATCAATCAATCAATCACTGCCTTTGTGATCGGGCCCACTTTGACGAAGTAAGAATGTCGTAACATGAAGTTGCCATATGACGTCATGTTATGTGACGTCACTGTATTGTCAGGATGACTTTTTCTTGTAATGTTATCACGGTATGATGGTTTATTTAGCGGCGAAGCTCCGTAGAGTCGAGCCATGTCCGCCGTCCTTCGTGACACGTCCTAACAATGGCGCTGATGACGATGAATATCAGCGACAACAAATGACTTGTGCAGAATATGACGTTTCGATATGCTCTACGATGCATTTCGTATGTCCGGAAACAACCGAAACCACCAGGGGAACGAGCACAGAAACCAGCTTTGCCAGTTATAGCCTGCACCCTATTCCACAGCAGTAATAGTGAATGCAAAACGAAATGCACAACTCAACACAACTTAAATTCATAACCAACAAACATGGTATATAACTGTACACCACCCCATCACTCATTTACATGCGTGAGGGATCAATGTCACGGATGATTTGCGGTAATAACGAACGATTCCACTGCTTTACCCACTCATCATCATTTACTTCATGGAGAGGCCATTATTTTTTTTTTATCCCTCGTTTAGGCGCCGCCACTGGACGCAGGTTGTTTCGATTTGATGACGCATCGATGGCAGTCACTTGATTGGGAAGTTATAGACAACTCAGTTATACCGCATAGTGCGGAAATTCACACTCTTGTGTTTCTCAACGTCGGACAAAGCGGTAGCTATTTCTACAAAACTTAAACTTAGCTGAGTCTCGCCTGCTCCGAGCACCGCGTAGAAGTAGTATCTTGAGGCAGCACAGGGACCTGCTAGATTTGGTCTTTTCAACTAACGCGTTTTGCCGAGACGTAGTCAGCTTGGCCCCAAAAACAGCGGTGAAACCCTATGGACGCACCTTCAGGCTCCACCACTCGATTGTCTTTTCTAAACGGAACGAAATGTCTATTCTACGTTCCGCGCAAGCTCACTTCAGTTCTTTCTACGCGCGTGTGTTAACCGCGTCACGCGCACTGTAATATACAGTCTTATGTACTTGTCTGTGCCTGAATCGCTAGCGATATCAGGTCCTACCGGAGGGGATCGTAAATGCTCAGCTGAAGGTGTTTGCCGACAGGTCTCAATCACGTGATATGAACGGTTCCTGGGCAAGCCCTTTAACCACCCTTCATGTTCGGAGCGCTTCAGGGGCCCGTAATGCCGCATGCTATCGACGTATGCTGTAGTTGTCGTCACCACATGTCGCTCAGCCTCACGCAGGCAAAGCCAAGCGTAGCAGGAAGTGGTCTCAAGCACGCGGCTTGCGGACTTTTCGCTAGCAACCCGCGGTTTCACAAGGAATGCAGTTTTCTCACTTTGCTACTTTTGTGACCTTGATAAAGTTTTTCTGCCTATAGTGTGCGACTTTTGTTACTTTGCTAAAACTCTCTGATTTGTACGGGAGACTCTCGAATTTTGAGCAAAACTCAGTATTGTGCGGGCACTGTCGTAAATCTCTCGAAAGGCAACCACTGTACCACCGCGAGAGGTACAGTGGTTGCCTTTTCGAGAGGTTTGCCTTTCGAGAGATTGCGAGAGGAAAAGTAACAGCAAGTAAGGACAGCGGATTTGAATTTTTCCGGTGTTCATCTATCCTAGCAGTACTTCGGTGTGATGCGAAAAACCGGAGTGAAACTAGAAAAGTGCTTCTAGCAGTCACGGGTCACAACACATTTGGTTAATAAATAAGAAAAGCGCGCACACACCATATATTTTGGAGTATATTTACAGTAGTCAACATCTAGAAAATTTACTGACATTTATTCAGAGTTGTTCAGGACGTTACTGCAGCCCTAAATTAAAACGTTTGACTTATTTGCTTAGTCACATACTAATTGTCTACGTAGTGTGTTGACAGGAAATCAGGGGGATACGAATATTTTGGTAACGGCACGAGATTTGTATAATCCATGTTTTACTGCATGTAATTTTTCCCGCGTCAGTATCATCATCGAGGCATTCGAAGAAGAAGGGGAAGAAGACTAATTCCTGACGCGTGTGCGTGCTCAAATGGCTAAGGTGTATGCGGTTTTGCGTGCTTTACACCGAGTGACGTCAACATATGATGGCACACTACGACTGCCCGGCGTGTGGTGACAGCTGCATATTCTGCTGGGGGTGCCACGGTATTTCCACGGTATTTCCACGGTATAAAATGATCGAAAGGTTGCGCCTCATTTTCTCCTGCGGAACGCCGCGATATGCGCCAACGTCAACGCCGTTGCCAGTGTCAGCGTTAGCGCCAGCACAAGCTATCAATAAAATACACCATTTCGCGCCAAAGCAAACCATCTTACCGCTGCCTTGCGGGGAGATGATTTACAGATGGTCCCTTTAGTAGATGATCCATACATCGTTCTCTTTAGCGGCAAATGGTGTCATTTTTTTGCTCATTCCCCTGCTTGCAGGGTAAGTAGCAAGCAGGGTAACAGCAGATGAAGCAAGCAAGCCCGTACGCAGCAAAAGAGAACCAGTCGACACACGACATTTGTGTTGTATACTCTAGCGTAAGCTACACTGGGTGAGATTGAGCAGTTTCACGTGGCTTACCGATATCCGTGCTCGACATGCCCAAAGAGCAGTGACGTCACACCGGCGCACAACAGGCGCGTTGAGGAAAGCGTGGAAGCTTACAGAGTAATGCGTCACTCTTGGGCTGGAGCTTGACACGAATAAGCTGCCTCACTGCTCTGTCTGTTCGCTCGTAGTTCACGCTACGTATATCCTAGCATAGCCGCGGCTAAGCCGCTGCAAAGTCATTTCTTGCTCTGAGCTCGTGTATGCTTGCATTACGTTATTTGGACCCTAGCTTTAGGTGCTTCAGCAAACGTGGAAAGTGACCGTCGGCATCATAATGTGTAATGTTAAAGATTCTAATGGCATGGCGTCATTCTATGAAGGCATCTTGAAGTCAAATGCCACCAAAACTAGTGACGTCGTCGTAGCGTGACACTACAGGACGTCGCATGATGGGGTCTTCGCATGACATGGTCTGTTTGTCATAGATTGACCGATCCCAGAGGCCCTGCGAAATTGCATGAGGTGCTGTAGGTTGCCAATGCCTCCGGCCCCTGAAGAAGTGCAAAACCGCGATCAGCACTGAGAGCTTTCTTTGTGGGGAAGGATCAATGGAATCAACTGGAAATAAGAAACGGTAGAAAGGATATTACTTTCTGCATCGAATTATCATAGGCAAGTGCATAAGGAACCAAGCAAATGTTTTCAAACTGTATTCCTACCAACAAACTCAAGATTCACTGACGTAAAGACATGTTTGTTGCTGACCCACCTTCGTACCGGCAACGATTCGCAGATCGTGGCTCCCGTCTCCGCCGTACACCACCAGCACGCGGTAGCCGTGCCAGCCGTGATCAAGTACACGTCGGGAAGCAGCCACGGATCGTCGGGTCACAAGTCCCACTATGGCAACTACGCGAGCGCCAGCAGCAGCAGCCACTATAGCACTGGTCGCACCAAGAGCAGGTACTCGCCCTCTTCCTCATCTTCGTCCTCCGGCTCGGGCTACAAGGCGAGCAGCAGCTACAACCGGCCATCCTCGGTGCGTGGTTCCTCCAGCAGTTCATCCGGCTCTTCCAAAGGATCATCCGGGTAAGCCTGTTTCCCTCATAAATGCAACAGGCGCGCCGCTGATGTCACTTTTCCCAAACGCATTGATTTTGCCTAAACTTCCGGCACCTTTTAGAGCAGTAAGAAATGCTACGCATTTGACGGACATTACCTCAAAGAAACTTTTGCGACTAGACATCGATAGGGGCTGCGTCAAGATTTAGTCATGGTAAAAATGGAATATTATCGCCCTTAAAAATTGTAGCTTTTCAACTGGAAGAACCAGAATTCAGTCTTTAAAACACTACTTATGGTAGCTTTCATTTGCTATGTTAAATTGTGAATAAGAGTAGTTCAATGATTAAAACGTAGTTCAAGCTGTATCAATGCGATGGTAGGATAGACAGATAGATATGTGGGGTTTAACGTCCCGAAAATCACCATATGATTATAAGAGACGCCGTAGTGGAAGTATCCAGAAATTTAGACCACCTGTGGTTCTTTAACGTGCACTTAAATCTCAGCACGTGGGCCTACAACATTCCCGCCTCCATCAGAAATGCAGCCACCGCTGCCGGGATTCGATCCCGCAACTTGCGGGTGATCAACCGAGTACTTCAGCGACTAGACCACCGTGGCGGGGCGTGATGGTAGTTGTTCCAGTATTTCCTGCATTACTCCAAAATTATGAACAGAGAAATTGTGCTTATGTAACTGCAGCAGGCTTCATAGTTTTACAACCTTTAAGCTTGAATTTCCTCTGCTAAAGAATAGTAAACACACGAGTTTTAATCTTTAGAAAGACTTGACTAAAGAGTTACGGTTTCACATCACATCTTCTCTGACTCTAAGTTTAATGGTGAGAATAAATACTTTAAAATTGTCGTAGTTTTCACCTCGGATATTGTATCAACACCTCGTCACCAACGCAAAACGTATAGACGTCAGACTCTGCCCAGGCGGCTCTGCGAAAAATGCTGCCACCAGCGCCCTCATCGCCATGCTGGCCATAATTGGGTAGTGCAAAGAGAGCCATTCGCAAGCGAACGTCCATAGGCCCTTCTCTGTCACTGTTGAGGAGGCGCGGTTTCTGGAAAATCAAGGACTTTGCAAGCCATTTTCGTCAATCCGACCTTTCTTTATAAAAGTAGAAAGCTCATCAAAGCGATCTGCGATGTTTGAAATATTTCGGAGTGCTACAACTGGCAATTTAAGTGCAAGCGGGCATCGCGCATGACATCGAGTTCGAGGCAAGCACAGGACGTGCGTTCTTTAACACCTAAATGCGTAAACTTAGGCATGCACCTGTTGTAGAAGCAATGAAGGGCGTACACGAGCAATGCACCTTACAATCAGTGGTACGAAGCTCGTTTGATCCGGCACGAATAGCCCCGGTGATTTTCGCCTTTGCAGTTGCATTCTTCATCGATATCTCACTACCTGTGCGTCGAACAGTTTCCTTTAACGTGTCCGGGAATGCTCTGTTCACGGTCGTCTTCCTTTTGTATATACTGCAAATAGAAATACATGCATGCCGACTTTCACGATGTACAACAAAAGGCAAAACCAAAGCCTCCATAACTCCGGCAATCCCGGAGACCAACGGCAAGAAAAACCTGATTGCCGCCACGACCAACAGCTACCCGAAGCCGGAATTTAGAAACATTCAACGCCCACGTACGCGATGCTGTGTGATGGCAACCGCCCCAGATTATGGGGGGTAGCGGCATGTGCGAAGTTTATCTCGCGTGTTACCAGTCTACAGACCGCGGTCAGGGGCTCCGTTGAGCTTCATAATCGAAGTTAGCACGGTTCTCCGTCAAGGCTATTCCAAACAAGAACGGGAGACCTACATTATCACACTTTCTCACGTGACCGGCTGCAGGAGAACGTGATTAATTCGCATAACCAACGCGTTCACAACGGGTCGTATCCAGTGCTCTCACCGTGTTGCTTCGCGACAGCTACCGAAATTAATAAATCTGAAATTATTTACGTCTGTGGCAGTTCCCAACGCAACAGTAGCGTCGATTTTCTTCGTAGAGCGTGGAACTGTTGCATCTGCTTTTGTTTTCGCCGTCGGTCTGGCAAGTGAACCAGGAAACACGTCATGGCGGTACGGTGACGCGTCCGACAAGCGGAGAGAAATTGCTAGCTCTTTTTCGGAGTGTTCAATACGCCAACACATCTAATATTTAGCTCAATCGTTGTTTTTTCGTGCTAGTTGCACCTGGTTGCGCAGCAAACTGTACAAGGGAGTGGGGCTTTGCACTACCCAAACTGCGCCAATAGGTGGCGCTGCGTGTCTACAAAAGTTCACGAGTCTTCCGAGAGAGGGCGGTGGCGCACTGCGGGCCAGAGACGGTTTGGCGAGCAGGTAGGAGGTCGGACGTGTTTTTGGAGAGCTCCGGAATGACAGCTACAGATAAGTGTTTTTGCATGTTTCCAGCTTGCCTCTGTCTGTAGCGTTATGAGAACGTAAGGCGCTAGCGTAAAGCTTGATTAGGTCTAGTACGGTGTACGTTTTTTTTTTTTTAGTATTCTGTACTGTGTCTTTTTTTTTGCTCCAGCCACCACGTGGCTGAGGCCTGCGCGTAGACCGACCACGTGCATGCGCAGGTGCTGTGAAGTGTAGCGTATTTATGTATTATTGTGGTTCTTTTTGGCTTAGACCAGTGTATTTTAGTACAGTTTTCTAACACGTGGGCATCGGTAAACTGAGCTAGCCATGGTCAAAAAGACCGTAAAGTGTTCAGAGTGCGGGGTAGGGTGGAAGGTGGAAATTAGTGCGGAAGAGAAAGCAGAAGATGACGCCAAGTGTAGACAGTGCGAGTTCGAGGAGAAAATGAAAAATATGATGGCGGTCCAGAGTGGGCTCATGGAGAAAATCGCAGAGCTGGAGAATGCATTGGCGAAGGAGCGAGAGAAAACGTCAGCCATGGAGGAAAGGCTCCGGGCAGCCGAGAAGGGCCTATCGAAGGTCGTGAAGGGGAACGAAGACGCAGGTGACGGCGGAAGCATTATGGCGACGACCCCCCGTGCGGGAGAGATGAGGGAAACGGACATGACAAAGGCAGATACATTGGCCACAGGGCCCAGCTACCGGGAAGTAGTTTTGAGGGAGGGAGGGAGCAAACCAGCAGCCGTGACTCACGCTAGTCACCTAGTCAGCAGCCAGGTGCAGGTTTCAGAAGGAATGTCTGAACAGGTCATCATCGCCGGTGACTCAAATTTAGTCCGATGCGCAGCGGCAATCAAAGAAAGGGTGAAAGGCGACAAGAGAGTTGCGATAGGGACGTTCCCAGGACAAACGCTGGGGACAGTAATGAGTCAAGCGGGTGAACAACTCGCAGCTAAAGCTAACAATCGTAACCTCGTTGTAATTGCGGGAGGGTTAAATGACGTCCTGAAAAAAGAATCGTCAGGACTAGCGACGACCTTGGCGAAAGGGGTGGATGACATGCGCACCGTGTCCCCCCAGGTGCAAATTGTAGTATGCACAGTACCGGAAGTACCAGTACGCAACGTCAACCTGCAAAGAGCGGTTGTCGACGCAAACAAAGAGATATGGCAAATTAGTCGAGAGAAGGGTTTCGAGGTAGTGGATTTAAACAGGGAAGTGCACAGGTTGGGTGGATTCCAAAGAGACAAGATTCATTTCGATAAGAGGCTTGGACACGAGGTGGGCTGGCGACTGGCAGGACGCGCAGTAGCTTTTTTGGGGGGCTCACGGGCCCTTCGGAGTCCGGGGTAGCTCGTAACAGGGAAAACAACCAGGAGGACGCTTTGACAGGTAGAATTGCGAAAAACCAGAAAAAAGGTAAAAGAAAAAGGAAAAAGGCGCGTGTTGCAATTAGTTACATAAACATGCAGGGTGGCAGAAAGAAGGCAAAATGGTTAGAGATTGAGGAGCAGTTAAACAAAGAACAGATAGGCGTGTATGCGGTTACAGAAACACACCTTAGAGACTTGGAAGAGCCACCACATATTAAAAATTATGTTTGGGAAGGGTGTAACAGGACCATATCGGAAAGGAAAGGTGGGGGTGTAGGAATGCTAATTCACCGCGGAGCCAAATGGGTTAGAGTGAAACAGACGTGTTCAGAGCACCTCTGGGTTCTGGGCACAGTAGGTGGAAAGGAAACGTGGCTAGGGGTAGCCTACTTGTGGACGGGGAATAACTGCAGAGAAAAGAATCAGGAGATAGTGGATTGCATGAGTGCGGATATTAAGGAATTTGGTAATGGGGCCGAAATCATCCTTCTAGGGGACATGAATGCCCACATACATGACCTTGACGGATATTCAGACACCAATGGGAAGTTATTACTAGATCTTTGCGAGCAACATAGTCTGGAGATAGTTAACACGGGGCCTAAATGTGACGGCCAGATCACATGGGAAGTCGGAAACAAGCAATCAAGTATTGATTATTGTCTCATGACTGAAGGAATTTACCACAAACTGACAGAAATGAGGATAGACGAGGAAGGCATTAACAGCTTGGGTAGTGATCATAAACGAATAACATTACAAATGGGATACGAAACTAAAAATATGAGCATGGAATCAAAGTCTGGCAGCTCGTATTTAAATGACAAACAAATAATAAATATAGCCGCAAGAGTCGAGGAAGAAGTAGGCGAAATACCAGGCAAGGACTGGGAGTATAGTGAGCTGTTACATCTAATGACGAAGGAGATAGGGAAAGAGAAGAAAACTGTTTGCTGGAAAGGAAAAAGGAAGCCAAAAAGTTGGTGGAACAAGGAAATCCGGGAGGCGATCGAGAAGCGACGCGAAGCATCACGGGAGCATAGAAAGGCAAAAAAGGAGAAGCGGCCGCAGGACGAAGTCAAAAAAATATGGGAAATATATTTGGAGAAAAAATCTCTTGTACAGAAATTGGTAGAGGCAAACATTAAAGGTGAAAGTGAACGCTGGATGACAGAGATACACGAAAAAAAGGAGGCCGCGCCTAGGATTTTTTGGAGCCACATAAAGGCGCTAGGTAGGAAGTCTGTCACAACGCAACAACATATTCTAGAT